TTAGGTTGGATATTAGGAAAAAGTTCTTCACCGAAAGGGTAGTCAGGCATTGGAACAGTCTGCCCAGGGAAGTGGTTGAGTCTCCATCCCTGGAGGTATTTAAAGAACGGATAGATGTGGTGCTCGAGGACATGGTATAGATGGACTTGGCAGTGTTAGGTTAACGGTTGGACTCGATGATCTTAAGGGTCTTTTCCAACCTTGACGTTTCTATGATTCCTCCCGCCTGTCCCAGGTTTCCTCATCTTCCTCTGGTACTGGACCATGGTTCTGCAGGCGAGAAAGTCCCCTGACTCGCAGAGCAGCTCCGACAGTGTCAAACTGCAGCCCAACAGCAGCCAGTGCCACCTCGGCTGAGCCCTGCAATGGCTGTGCTGCACCGTGCCAGGGTTCCCCGTGTGGAGGATGGCCACGGGAAGGACTGACGCCGTCCGCTTTGCTACCACACCTGCCTCGTAGGGCTGCTAGGAGCCCAGGGACCCACAGTGGGGCTGGCCACCCCTCGTCCCTTGCCTCTGCCAGCCCCCTCCCCAATTTTCCCACCCACTGCATCCTGGTGGGCAGCGGTGCATCCCTTGGATTGGCATCCTTGGAGCAGGAGGGAGGGATGCTTGCCTGGGCAATGAGGGCTGCAGAAACCAGAAGGGACAGGGACAGGGTCCCCAGTGCCTCCGGATGTCCCCTCCCGTGCCCTGAGGCCAGGGATGAAGGGTGGGAAAGGCCCTATCTTCAGCCCTTGCTGGTGGTCACCAAGAGGGTCCTTCCCCAGTGAAGGCAGAATAACTCTGCCCCTGCAACACCCTCTAGCAGCTGAAATAATCTATTTTTGTTATTTTGTTGAATGTATATTTTTGGATGGTGTAGAAGTTTAACGAGCGTGCCTGCACACCAGAATTGTGCCCATTAAAGTTGTTCCTGCTCGAAGCGTGGCTTGCTGGGGTCTCTCTGCTGGGTGCGTTTGTGGGCTCTCCAATGGGATCCGTCCCTCGGCTTGGGTTGTCCCATCCCCAGGGCAGGATCCAGCGTTTCACCCTGTAGGATCCTTCAGAGCTGGGACAAGTAACGGTGCTCCCAGCAGAGCACTGGCAGCCTGGTGCCGTAGGGGTCGGGGTGATGGAGGGGGATGCCGTGGTTTGGGAAACTGCTGCAGTCTTTGGGGACCTTTACTACCCAGTGAAAAGGGAGGCTGGTGGAAGATGGGAATCCGAAGAGGGAGGCTTCGCAGGATGGGAATTGCCTCCCTCAGTTGCTGCGGGGCCATGGAGAGCGCAGCTCTCCTGGCTGTGCTGCTTGCAAACGCAGTACTGCATCTCCCAACTCACCGGTTCCCCTTCTGGATGGTGCTCCACTTGTGGCTCATCCCCCTCTGCCTGTTTCCCAGCTCCCAGCCGGGGCAGGGCAGCCTTCCTGGGAAGTGGATCTTTCATCCCCGGCAGCTTGTGGTGATGCCTGGCAGCGCACCCAGTTTGGGAGACAGATGCCCTGACACATTGCTGGGTTGGTGGGGGGCATTGGCCAAAGATTTGGTAGGATGGGGGGGAGAAGGGGAAGGAAAAAAGCCCTGAGTCAGCTGGGGGAAGCAGCCAAGGGGGAAACGATGTGGCTGTGACCGTTATCGCTGTTGCTGTGAGCTGGGGCAGGAGGTCACTTGCCAACCCACAGGAAGGTGCGAGGGTTCGCAAAAAGGAAATGAGGACACGGCTGTTGCCTCAGGAGCAGCCACAAGCCCCGGGGGAGCCCAGGGAGGAGCAGAGTTGCTGGGACGAGGGGAGCAGAGTGTCATGGGATGGCCAAGGGTGGCCAGGAAACCCCACAAAGCAGCATGAACCTGCTTCTGGGCACTGTCCTGCTGCTTCTGGTGCTGCCTGGTGAGTGGCGGGTGAGGGGGATGCGGGCACCCCTGGCTTGGGGTGTGTGTGGGCTTGGGGGGTATATTTTCCCTTGGGAAAGTGTTGACCCAAAGATCGTGGTGGGGTTTTGCCCTGAAATGTGGCCAGGCCAGAAGGGAGTGTCCCCCCTGGGATGTGCAGAGAGCTGGCAGAGGCAGGCGGAGCTGGGGGCTTTGCTGCTGGGGACTATTTTAAAATCTGGGACCAGCAGCCCAGGGTCTCTTCTACAAGCCACCCTGGGGGGGCTGGATGCAGTGACGTGTCAATGCAGGCATGGTGGCTTTGCCTTCACCAGCCCTGATGGCTGTCCAGTTGCTTTTTGAAGCCCATGTAACTGTAGGGCTGCTCCTTTTGAACCTAGCAGCTGCCAGATTCTCCTTCCTCCCTCTTCCCCTCTGGGCAGGAGGAGGACTAACCCTAGATTTTGGGGTTTTCACCCCACTTCCCCATGTGGTCTTCTTCCAGATGCTGCTGGGGGACAAGACAGCTGTGCTGGTGAGTGGTCCCCCCCATCCCTGCCCTTGCCATGGTGCCCACCCAGTGCCACGGCACCCAGCAGGCACCCTGCTCCCCTCCTCCCCAGCCCTGAGGCGGGGTGACAGGCACCACCAGTGCTGCGACATGGTGGAGTCGGAGGAGCAAGGCAACGGGACCCTCAGCCCCGACTTGCCCCAGCGCTGCCCGGAGCTGGGGCACTCCAGCAGCTCCGCTTGTGCCTGCCTGCGGGAGCGCTGGCTCAGGTAGTGGGCAGGGGTGGCCATGGTGGGGTTTGGGGGCTCAGCCACCTGCATCCACCGATCCCACAGCCCTCCTGCCCTGCAGGCTGCTGCAGTCAGCAGGGCTGGCGCTGCACGGTGGGCTGGCTGGGCTGAAGGTGCTGCTCCTGAATGTCAGCAGGGCTGTCACCCGTGATGTCCTCATCACCTTTTCCCCCAAGGAGGTGAGATGCACCCCTCTCCCTTGCTTGGGAGGCCCTGCGCCTTCCAAGCATTCCTCAGCCCCTGCCCAGGGGTTTGGCATGCCATGGCGTGCTCTTCCTCCACCCTGCTCCACGGTTGCATCATGGACCCATGTCAGCTTAGCATCCCTTGGCAAGGAGTCACGTGAAATGGTGCTTGGGAGGGAAGAGCCCTCCCTGAGGAGCTGTCCCAGCAGTAGGCGGGTAGTCAGGGGGAGGGAGAGGAAGAAGAGGAGGAGGAATGTGTGGGACCTTGTGCCTCCTGCCCACTCCCGGGCCCTCCCACTCTCTGGACGTCTCAGGGGACCATGTCCCATGGGGTAATGGTGGGCTGGAGCTCTCCTGGGAGCTGGTCCCAGATCTGCTGCTTTGCTGCTAGGTGCTGGGGATAAGGTTCTCCCCTTCTGCCCTCGGGGCTTCTGCTGATGTTGCTGAGCAAAATCCGCTTGGGCAGGGCTGAATTTGTGCCTGGAGCAAGGTTGGTGGGTCTCGAGCAGAGAGGCGATGCTGCCAGCAAGCAACCCCCCCACCGCTGTTCGCTGCCGCAGGGCCCTAGGATGCTGAACATGACAGAGAAGGGGAAGGCAGGCAAGATCCAGCTTCCCAGGGAGATATTCCGGTCCCTGAGCAGCCGGACAGTGCGTGTGGTGGTGACGGTCCTCAACATCCAGCAGCTTGGCATGTTCAAGGTACGGGCTGGCATTGCTGGCATCCCTCCGGCTACTGGCACTTGTTACCTGCCAGCTCAGCTCAGCAGTGTTGCTCCTATGCAGGAGGTCAACCAGACAGGGCAGGTCCTGGACGACACTGTGGTGGGCATCATGGTGGGAGAGACAAGCATCTCTGGGCTGCGGGACCCTGTGCAGCTCACCTTTGCCCACAGGCAGCTGCTCCATGTAAGTCAGCTGTGCCCTCCCTCCATCTCTCCAGTGCCCCTCACTGTGGCATCAGCTGATGCTGCTCTCTCTCCTTGCAGGACATCACCCCCCAATGCGTCTTCTGGGATCCCAGCAAAGGTATAGTCCTCGGCAGGGCTGGGTGCAGGGCTGGGTGCAGGGCTGGGTGCGGGTGCTGTGCCCCACACTCATGGCCGTCACCCTGTGCCGGTCGCAGGGCAGGCAGGAGGCTGGAGAAGCAGTGGATGTGTCACGCAGCCTGAGGACAAGAGGACAGTCTGCTCCTGCGACCATCTCACCTTCTTCACCCTCCTCCTGGTGACAATCCCTCTCCTCACAGCTCCTGCTCATACCCCAGCTGTGCTGCCTGCCCCACTTTGGTGGCCCCTTGGGTGTCATGCGTAGCTGCACCAGGGACAGTTATAGCTGCTCCCAGGCAAGCCCAGGTCCTAAAATCAAGCCCAGCCCCAGCTTAGGAGGGCAGCAGCAGCTCAGCAGAGTGGGTACAGGGTGGAAACAGCCCCCAGTCTAGTGCAGGCTCTGGAGCAGTGAGGCTTGGGGTCCCATCCGCTGGTGGAGGCTCCCAGAAGGGTCCTCATGGTGGTCCACTATAGCCTTCACTCGTCCCTCACCCCACCCCAGGGAGACTCTCCTCTGAGCCACCACTGCCCCACTCCCCCCAAAGACTTTCTGGGGGGACAGACCGGGGGCTTGTGTGGGGTCCCTGCAGCAGTCCACGAGGGTTATCAGCCCCAGGGCTCTGGTAGCTGCAGTTGGGTTTTCTAGGTTGGTCCAGGGCCTGTCTAACCCAACGTGTGCATGTTTGGCAGAATCCAACGCTGGACAGATCCACGGCACAACCCTTGATGGCTGTTGCCACTGCTGGCTGCGGGGTAGCCATGGCTTTCTCCATCTTCACCATCGCCTTCTGCATCTTCTTAAGGTAGATGTGGCAGCAGCTCACTGGGGACTCCTCAGGCTGGGAGAGATGTGGGGCAATTCCGGTGCCTCTGCATGAACCTGCTGCGATACGGCATGGGGCCCCGCTCAGCTGCGATCCCCATCTTTTCTGCTCCCTCTGGGGACGCTCAGGTGCAGGTTCAGGTCCGAGGAGACCCTCTGCATCAACCTGGGGCTGCACGTGAACCTCGTGGGCAGCCTGCTCCTCCTCAACCTGGCCTTCCTGCTCAATAGCGGGCTCGCCGGTGGGACCCAGCTGGGGACCTGCAAGGTCCTGGGGGGGTTCACCCACTACTGCCTGCTCTGCTGTTTCACCTGGATGGTGCTGGAGGGCTGTCACCTCTACCTCCTTTTCGTCAAGGTCCTCGGCACCTACATCCGCCACTACCTGGCGAAGCTGTGCCTGGTAGGCTGGGGTGAGTACCACCAGCTTGGGCAAAAGCTGCGAGGAGAGGGGGGCAGTGGGTACAACTGGAGGGGGAACAGGGTGATGCAGTGATGGGCAGACAGTGAGCGAGCCCCCATCCTGCCCACAGCTCTTCCAAATGCCATGGTCAGGGCTGGGAAGTGTTTTATATGTGCTCAGTGCACCAAATTCAGGGCAGCACCTGCAGGCATCCTCCATCCCGCTGAGGACCAGCCTCCTGCTCATCAAGCAGGTGGTATCTTTGGGGGTCTTCATTCCCCCGTTGTCAGCCCTCCATGGCACCTTGGGGGGCACCAGAGCAGATGATCCTGCAGAGAGGTTAGGGGACACTTCGAGCCCCGCCACCCAGCGCTGTCCTTCCCTCTCCACATCATGTCCCAGCAGCAATCTTTGTGCCCCCAGCACTTGTGCAACCTCAGCGGGTCCCTAAGCCCCATCTTCCCTGAGGTCGGCACATCCAGGGACATGCAGAGATTGCCCACCGCTTGCCTTTCTGGCCTCCTCCACGTGTCTCCCTTGTTCTTCCAGGCTTCCCCATTCTTGTGGTGGGGGTGGCAGGAGCCATCGACAGCTACGGAAAATACGGGATCCAGACCACGGACCAGGAGGTCATAGCCCACTTGTGCGTGCACCACCGCCCGCAGGGCTTAGGTGGCCCTTTGGCATGGGGAGTGGTAACTTGATCCTGCCGGGAGTGGGGCGGGGCAGGGAGCTTTACACTGTGCTTCTGCTTCCCTAACTGTGATTACAACACAGCAGCTACAGCCATGGTAACCACCATCATCACCACCTCTTGCGCCGAGTCTCCTCAGTCATGCTTGCAGGCCTCCAGGTCATGGAGGGACATCCAAGGTCTACCTGGAGCTTCCCCAGGCTCCCTCCCAGCTGAGCAACATGAGGGCAGTGGATCCACACCACTGTCTCCCCTGCTTCACCCTGGCCTTGGAAACCCCACCAGCACAAGGGTGTCCCTGCATCCCCAAACACATCCCCCTGGGGATGCTCCCATGGGTGCTGCTGGGGCTAGCAGAACCACTGGAGGCACCACGATTGTCTCTTTTCAGGTGCTGGATCACTTCCAAACGTCTCGTGGTCCACTACATCACCAACTGTGGTTACTTTGGCCTCATCTTCCTCTTCAACATGGCTGTCTTGGAAGAGCTGCTGCCTGCAGCATACAGGGGCAGTGCAGGGAGACCGCAAGGCCTGGAAGGTGGCCCTGGTGGCGGTGGGGCTCTTCTGCCTTCTGGGAGCCACCTGGGCCCTTGTGTTCCTCACTTATGGCACCTCCTCTGCGCCCGTGCTCTACCTCTTCACCATCCTCAACTCTCTCCAAGGTCAGGGCTGGCTCCGAGCTGGGCTCCCTGGGCTCAGGTGGGGAAGATGGAGGAGGCAGGAGCCACCATGGCAGTTGTGTTGACCAGGGGTCCCAAGGCACCAGCATCTTCCCAGCACTGTCATGCCCTTCCCTTTGGCAGGGCATGTCAAGCAGCAGGTCACAGCCACCGGCGTGGAGCTGGTCATGGCTCCCAACCACGTCCACTCCACCGGGGGTGGTTTTCCTCCAAGGAAGCCATTCCTTAGCAGAGGAACAGGGACATTATCCACCCAGGGCACATCCCAGCCAAATGGCTCACCTGAAGCCAGGGGGAGACCCTCCTGCAGGAGCAGGAGCAAGCTGGGGAAACCCCCTGGAAGTGGCAGGGAAGTCCTGGCAGCATCCTGGCAGGATGCTTCCCACCATCTCCTGCTGCTGCTGCTGAGTGTCTGCCTTCCTTTCCCTGCAGGAATCTTCATATTCATCTGGCTCGTTGTCCTCTATTACCCGAAGACAAAGGAGATGGCTGGCTCCCTCTCCCACATCATCAGACATGACAAAAACACCACAGTCTCCCAGGACTAAGTAGACCTCCCTCCCTGCTTGCACATGCACACGCTAAGAACAAGCTTTGATCCCAACGGGTGCAGCTTCCCCATGGAGGACGAGGGCTCAGTTTACCATGCCTCGGTTTACCCTTCAGTGGGCATGATCCACCTTAGCAGGGCTCTTTGCTTCAGCCCTTTTGTTCCTAGTGGCCTGCCTTGAGCAAGGAGCTCCGGAGATGTCCCTTCTGCCAAAGTCCCTCCAGGCTGCAGCTCCCCCATGGTCTTAAACTGCCCCCGATCTCATTCCCCAGGGGCTCTTGTGGGGGTGAGGAGGGAGCCCACAAACCGCCTGCCTTCAGCCAGGATGGAGCCATCCCCCTCTTTGCTAGACATGGCCTTTGGTGCTGGACCAGCCCAGCAGTGGGTTTTCCTTCTGTTGGAGGTGGGAGGACTGAATTGCTCCAGCCCAGATTCAGGAGGTTCAGGTCTGAGAATTAGAAAAAAAAGAGAAATCCCACAAGCTTCTTTGCAATACGTCTTCTCCAAACGGACCAGGGCCGAGCTCTTTGGGCAGGGATCTGCTGTATGTCCCTCCTGCAAAACACCCTCTGGGGCCAGCAACAACTTCTGTGAGGACACCGTGCTTCAGCCGAATGTACACACGCAGCCCTGTTGCAGGGAAAACACACATCTCCTCATCTATGTTTTAAGTATTAGATCTCTGCCAGCTGTCTGAGCGCTATGGACTTAGTCTTTGATGCTTACAATATTGTTTGTTATTTGCTTTATATTAAGGATGTATTGATGGGCAAAAATCTTGTTGCCAATTTGTCATCATTCAGAAGGAAGAAATCTGTATGGATAGGTATATATATATATACATGCACGTGTGTGCACGCACAGAGCAGCCCCTTCTCTGTTAATGCTGCATCTGCGTCACACAGAACTGTGCGAAGTCCAGCTTTGGTGGGCAAATATCTGGTGTGGGTACCTCCATCTCCCCACGCACCTGGGTGACTCTCTGGGGAGGAGGCAAGCAGGAGGAAGGAACCTCTCGTCCCTCTCCTGCACTCCAGGTTTCTGGAAATTCATTCGCTATTGATAAGACCATTTCAGAAATGCCTCGATCCCCTGCTCTGCACAGTGGGGTCTACCCCTGCCAAAATCAACCACCTGCCCAGGGTAAGGAAGACTCTGGGCAAAAAACCTAGTTACTCCTCTGCTCTCTGCAATCTCTAGGCCAAGCCCAGAGGCAGGGCTTGCTGCAGCTGGATCCTGCAGAGCACACCACCATGCCCTCACCTGCTTTTACGACAGAGCTGCTCCTGCACCCCAGCTTTCTTGGGTACATGTTTCAAATCTAGAGAGTGTGGGCCAGGAGGGGATGAGAAGGTCCTAAGGATGCTACAGGGAACAGAAACACTCTGATGTGACTCATCCTTCAAGCACCATTTGCATCCAACTATCGCCTCCTTCCCAAAAAAACCCTGTAAAGACACAGGCAAGAGCCTCTCTGCTCCTGCCACATTTATTTGGAAACCGCCATTTTCTACACCGTTCGCCGCCTCATGCTGACAGCCGCAGCAGCCACAGTGAGCACACCAAGCGCACACAGCAGGATGAGGGCCCCAGGGAGCCATAGGGTGGGGACTGTTAAGAGAAAGGTTGGTTACACATCTGGGTCCCGCAAGCCAATGCTGAGCCCTGGCACGGCATCTCCTGGCTGGGGACAGATGTGGGGGAGGTCATCTCCTGTGAAGGGTAAAAGTCGCCAGAGCTGGGGGTGCTTCGGGGCCCTGAGGGCGCTAACAGGACTTGGTCACCCCAACTGGCCTCACCTGGGGCCTCCACCCACATCTGCTGCCCAGGGGCTCCATTTAGCTCAGCATTCATGTCTGGTCTGAGCTATGCTGTAGGTGGGCCTGCCCCTAGCCCTGGTCCTGGACCGGTGCTCAGATCTCCTGGATTGACATCGGTGCTCAGAAGGAGCCTGCCTTTCCGGGTTGATATGGAGGTCCAGCATTGTGAAAACCCAGCCTTCCTAACCTGAGGTGCTGCACCGACAGCCTTCTGGCTCCTGGTCCCTTCCCGCCCAGCTCCCCTGCTCAGCCTGACCTGTGCCTGGTACGGAGCTGCTCACGCAGAGCTAACCTCTCTGTGCTGGTTTGGCTTCTGGAGCATGCCGTGCATGGCCATGACACCTGAAAGACTCCATGCTTCTGTGCAGGGCAGTGATTTTAGCAGCCCTTTTTAATAACCTGGCATTGCTAGAGAGTTGCAAGGGGTCTGTGAGCTGCTTGTGTGCTCCCTGGAGGGACATACATACCCCCCAGGTCCTGTTGGTCAGTCCTGGAATGGTGGGTCTCTGCTCCCAAAGAAGGAGCAGCTAGCAGGTGGATGGGCCCGTAGGAGACAATCTTATTGTAGTCATCTGCCAGCGCCCGCTTGCTCCTCCAGTGCCTGGGGCATTGCTGTCAACAAAGCAAAGGGAAGGGTGATGGGACCAGAGGGCAGGGGAGAAGCCTGCTCTGGGAGACAAGAGCTGTCCTGGTGGTCTCCCCCTGGCAGAGGCACACTTGGGGCTGCAGCCTGGGAGCAGTCAAGACCCCAGAGCATGAGAGGAGCTGGTTCCTGAAGGACTTTAGCCTGCTCCTCCCCAAGTCCTAGCATAAAGCTCTCCTCCTGGAAATACCCAACAGACAGAGGGAAGAGGGAAAGGAGCTCTGGTGGGTTCAAGCCCTCATACCTTTAGTTCAGGGCACTGGGGTGAGTTCCTGCTGCTGGGAGGTGTTTATTGTGCTGAGGCACCCGAAACCAGAGCAGAGCCCCTTCTCCAAACAGCAGGGAAAGAAAAGGGAGGTCCCCCTGCCTGGCCAGGGCACAGTGCAGACCACTGGGAGAGCTCACCTTGGCACAGGGCTCTGGGCTGCCGGGGAGACAGAGCCGGACACGGCAGTGCAGGAACACCTCGGAGTAACCAACAAACTGAAACATCTGGAAGCTGAACTTGGCAGTAGTGCTCTCTCCAATAGCGTTCAGGTATGTCACTGTCTCATCGTGGGGACACCTGGGACATGATGGCTGAGTCAGCAGGTGGCAAACAAGGGGGAGCATCCCAGCCTGGGACACCAGAGCACACAGGATCGGGTGCAGCTCCCAAGCTTTGCTGAACAGGACTATTTCTGTCTTAGTGCTGGTGGGGATGCCTTTTCTTGGCACCCTGCACTGTGCCCAGCTCAGGGAGGAGCTGCCACCAGCACAGGAGCTGGCTCGTGTCTTGCTCTGTGGGGCCACAGCTGCTCTGCAGGGGTGGCGTGAGCCTGGCTGTGGCTCCCACTTCCTGGATGTCCACATTACTGGCTTTAGCTTGGCTGCAGCCACCTCTAATGCAAGCTCTTCAGCAGATATCTGTATGCACATCCCAGCAAGGTCTCCCCTCTCCCCTCCTTGCCCGTTGCCTCCCCAGCTGCCAGGAATGATGCTAGAGGGAAGGCAGCACTATTGGCAGTAGAGCAGGGTCAGGAGAGGGGGCTCAGTTCAGGGCAGTTAGGAGGCTCATCTATGGGGCTGTTCCACCTAATCAATGATGGTGTCCACCATAGGTTCCACCTATGAGCAATGATGGTGTCATTGCTCAGTGCTCCCTCACAGCAACCTGCCCTTAGCATCCAGCAAAGAAATGTGACTGTGCTCATGGTGCAAGGAGACTGGATGCACTATGGGCACTCCACTCACCCCTTCTCAATGAGCTCATGCCGCACATCCTGGTAGGGATCCACGCTTGGCGTGGCCCAGCAGTCCTCAATGCTCAGTAGGAAGTACTTGAGCTGGTGCTGTCCTTCT